ATACAGTATGAAAATATATGATACTATATCACCCTGGTATGGGGATGATATCTTGTGGTACACAATGTTAAAAGTCGTAAATAACAGTTAGTATATTCCTACTATCATGTATTCAATTATCTTACAATCTTGCCTTCTTGGTATGTTAATAACACCATGGTGCCCTTTCATAACATATGATATGCTCTTATTCAATTCTAATCAATATCACCATCGTATAGACTGGTAAAAAATGACTCAATTTTTTTTGTTCAAAAAATATATCAAAGTGTATGTCATTTTGAAGAGCACAATTAATCTGATTTAGAATAGCTTCGATTGCATCCCTATTTAATTTTTATTTGAACATGATGTGATTTTAGAGTGCTTTAGACGATACATGTGATAAGCCGTTAATTGCACATGTTTTTACCCCTATTCTGGAGCCGTTTGAGGTGTTGATTCTCGTGTTTTAGGCCGATTTCACGCTAGGTTGTGTTTGTTTGTGATATTTCAGGTCCTAGTAAGTGAATGAAGGCTTGGGAGCGAGTTCGGGGTCGATTGGACGAAGATCGGGCACGAGGCAAGTCACAAAGGAAGCCACACGGGCACACACACAACTCACACGGCCGTGCAAGTGACCAAGGAGGCCGTGTGGGATTGTGCGAGCCTTCACACGGGCACAAATAAAATCCACACGGCCGTGTGAAGTTGCAATTTGGCCGTGTGGAATTCTGCGAGGCTTCACACGGCCATGCTGGGTGAGCTACACGGCCGTGTGCCCCTGGCCGTGTGTGAAGCCTGAAACCCAATTACTCGGAACGCGGCGTTTTGACCTCACACGGGCAAGTGGGTATGCCACACGGCCGTGTGGCCTACCCGTGTGAGTCGGGAATTTCTGGTTTTTACCCAATTTCAGGCTGCAAGTGAGAGAATCTGATTTTCAGAGCAAAAACAGAGCCCTAGAGAGAGAAAGTACGAAGAACACATCCTAGAAGCTATCTTGGAGCTGGGTTTCATCAAATCGAGCTTCGAGATAGTCATAGGAGTGGAAATCATCATCCCAGATTAGATTCTTCCCATTGATATGAGTATGACTGCATTGTATTCTGTTTTCCCCTCTCTCTCTATGGAGTAGAAAACTTCTCTCACTTGGGTATGAAGAACCCTAGTTCCATAGGGATTTGATTGTAATGACTTGGGATGATTATACTGTTTGGTTTTAATCGAATGATGCATGTTTATTGAGTCAATTGAAGTCTGATCAACTTTTCCTGATTTCTTCTCCAACCTGAGATAGATAGAATCTGATTAGGTGGTTAGAGCCTCATCATTCGGTAGTAGGAGATTGGCTATACGAGAGTTAGTCAGTTTACTGCTTTGTACTGGAATTCAATTCCAGTAGTGGAGTTCTGTGCTTAGTGCTTCAGCTTTCTATCCCGGTGAAGACTAGTCGTCTACCGGGTAGTTAGACTGAGAGGGCTTGGTCAGCTTAAGAGATTCCAAGCTACTGTCGGATCTTCCGCAGTCTAATCAACAGTAAATCAACCCAGGGAAATTACAATTGAGACCTAACTAAGGAGCTAGGGGGACTCATTCCCGAGTGACTCTTCTTTGCTTGAGAAAACCGTACCGATTCCTGCTTTCTTTCTGCTTTTGTTTTAAACAACAATCACTTAACTTAATAGGCTAGATAATAGATAATCACAGAGTAAGCAGTAGATCTAGACCCCGGGTTGATAATAGAACTTGCCATTTTACTGCATTCCCGGACTGCGATTACACTTGGTTGCAGTTTGGTGTTGTGTTTTGGCGTGTCAACATGTGAATTAAGTACGAAAAAGGTGCACAAGTGTAAAAAAGGGGGCAAAAATGGAGATCATGGCCGAAGGAGCCAAGATCCCACCCTTTAGGGTAAAGATCCCAGCCATGAAGAGAGGGCATGAACCAGAGCACAAGATCGCAGCCTACAGTGCAAAGATCCCATCCTTGATCTTCTGCCTCTGACCTGCGAACTTGATCTAAAGATCGCAAACTCAAGTTCCTTGCCGCAAACTTTAGAGCCAAGGGTGTGAACTTTAGAAGAGGCCAAATCGGGAGAAGCATAAAGTTTCCATAGTCGAATCACGGTCCATGGCTTCCGTGCCCGTGATAAGGATCGCGGTCGTGAAACCCCTGATAGCGACCGTGATGTTAGGTCAAGAACTCCACATTTAGCAAGGCCAAAATGGTGACCCTCAAAGATCGCAACCTCTAGCCCAAATATCTCGGCCGCGATATTCTACCTCTCGCTTGCGAACTTTCCCATAAGATCCCAGCCTCAAGTTCATGGGCGCGATCTTAATCCCCTTGCCCACAAACTTGCCCGTGTTTGCAGAACTCTGTAAATAGGGGACACCTCTCCCTTTAGAAGATGACTTTTGGTAGATTTCTAATTCTAGAGAGAGAATAAAGAGAGAAGTTGAAGGGAGGAGAAGAAGCGGAGGATAGTTAGAAGAAGGATCCACATCTCTTGAAGACCCTTTCTTCATGATTTCTTCCCCTCTTTGTATGTCTTTCCTTCTCCCCTACATGGACGATCTCCCAAGGTACTAGGCGTTTAAGTCCCCAAACCCTAATTCTAGGGTTATTATGTAATGTATGGATATTTTAGGGTTTTTAGGAATGAATGTATCTATCTAGTTGATTTCATTGTTTCTCTAGCTTTTATTGTGTTTGGGTAAGTCACCCTAATCTTCTCTACTAGCCAATTTGAGCTTCTATGATGGGTATGCAGTTTTAGGGTTAGACGGGTATGCGCCATCAAGAAAATTGAGGTTATATGTATGAATAGTATCCTATGGTGGACGAGGAAACTGTACCCCTGCCATAGGAATGCCTTCCTAGATAGAAGCCAAGATAAAACCCGGTGTGGACGGTGGGTAGTACCCATTGAAAGGAGCTTTGTTCTTAATGCCCCAGATATGATAGCCTAGACCGAGGTGACTGACATGGGTTTAGGGGAGGGGTACTCGGAGGCGTGTGGATAACCATGAAAGGCCACAGGAAGAGCTCACTCACCACATTTGACAAACACTATTTATCTAGACATTGCATAGTAGACCTAGACTAGGGTGAGGGAATACCACGAGTACCTCGTCTTATCCATTGATCTTTAGTTTAGGAATCACTAAGTGCCCACCTGTCGAACAACAGGCTGACTAGATAATGGCGGAGCCTAAGTAGCCTAGGATACTGTGACCCTTGGAATACGACTGAGCCGCTATACTACATCCCTAGCTAGGTTATACTTGGCTTTGTTAGGAATGACTAGTGAGTGCACTTCGACTCTATAAATTTAAATCTTGCACCCATCAAGTTTTTAGTGCCGTTGTTGGGGAGTTACGATAACTAGTTGAAAGAGTTAAGTTGTTTGTTTATTCTTTTTAGTCATTTTGTTGTTTATAGCTTTTGAATCATGGATCCTTATGAATTCACCAAAGTGTGGAGATATCCACCAACACCCAAAGATGGTTACCCCGAAGCTTCATGGAACAATCAAGATGGTGGAAATCAAGAATTAGGAGAGCCCACCTTCCAAGAAGAAAACCGATACCATTTGGAACTTCAAGAAGCTTCCCAGTACCACAAAGAATACTTTGTTCCCCAACCGGAGCAAAGAAGCGAATTGGAAATCTTCGTGTAACAGTTTGCTCGTGGTTCAGAGGGAGCATCCTATAGTGTAGAACAACCTTGGTACACTCCACAAGAACCAAAGAGCCAATTGGAGATCATGATGGAGCGGTTCACCGAAGCTTGCTCCGATGGGGAATCCTCAACCACCACCACCTATCGACTCATCCTTACTACGAATATCGGAGAAGATCCTCCATAAAACGGAGAGACTAGGAGAGATTGTCGAGCAAGCATGTGCACGACTTGCTCACAATCATCTCCTACCATTTGAAGAGGAAAGGGAGGTCGAAGAGGCGGGAAGGAAGGTTGGGGATGAGGAAGTGTGCGTCAAGGAAGAGGAAGATCTTGATTGTTCCCAAGTGGAGGAACACATTTTTGAAGAACGAAGGGAGGTTGAATATGAAGTTGAAGTTGCATATGGCGCCCAAGATGAGGACGAAGTCGTGGTGTATGAAGATTCTACAAGTTACAAGTGTTACGAAAACTTTCAACGTGACCTCGATGCACTTTTCGAGAGGGACCCATTTACGGCTCTTTGCCAAGCCAAGGCCAAACCATCGGCAATCCCTCATGGTGGATGCGATGGAAGTCAATCGAGTTTGCAATACATGGTGTGGGGCAAAGAGAAGGAAGAAGAAGGAGAGGTCTCGTGGGTGGAGCCTCATGACAATTCAAGATCACGATCCCTCAAGAATGGACTCGTCCAAAGCTCGTGACTTGAAACACCGCCTCAATGAGGAGAACCTCAAATTCAAGGAGTATCTAAGTTATACCGAATACTTGAAGATAATTGTCCAACGATAAGACTTGAAAGACGCACTAGTTGGGAGGTACCCCAACAACCGATTTGCATTCCCTTACCTTTTTCAAAATAAAACTTGCATTAATTTTGATTTAAGTATTTTTTATAGTTTTAGCTAGTGAATGAATCCCTTCTATGTTAAGAATAAAATGCATGATTATTTGGAGACTAGCTACTTGCTTTAGGAATGTAATAGAAACCTACTTTCCACGGGTTTCTAATATAATTACCATATTCATATTAGAGATAATTATTAGAATAAATCATTACTTGGAGATTAAGTTTAGGATTATTGTTAGGTTTTCTATCTTTTCTTATATAAGTGTACTTAGGAGTTTCATTATTATCAATCAAGAAAGTTAATACGAAATTATCCCAACCCTAGTCTCTCTCTCTCTCTCTCCAAAGCTTTGGCTGTTCTTCCTCAATGCCTAAAATTCTACTCTTCTTCCCCAAATTCTCTTCTAAATCCCTAAATCTCAATCAATTCCCAATCCAATCGATAAAACCCTATAAATAGGTTTCTATCATCTAGTATCAGAGCCAGAATGAGCTCATCAAAGTTCTTTGATCCAGAATGGATTCGTCTCAGCCAGTGGTTGCAGCAGTCTCTTGACCGCTACGAACGGGAAGAGTAGGAAAGGGCGCATGGTGCGGCGACGGCTAAAGGCGCGACGGCGGATGGCAGGGTAGCGGTTGCGGGCGAGGTGATGGCAGTTGAGGCGGTGCCACTGCGGCGAAGAGGGAGGAATCGGCAGATCACTGGGTAACTTCTCCAATCGTTGCAATGGCTGAGATTCAGTCGAGCAGAAGTTTGGGACCATCATTGGCAGAGCTCACAACCGACATTGAGCAGAAAAGAGAAGCTGAAGCGGTGAAGACTCTCCGGGTTAATTCGACGACGCCGGAGGTCGCGCCAATAGGTCAAGTCCCGTCAAAGATGGCAGAGGCAGCTAGCATCGACGATGCAGCTGAACTGCTGTCGCCGTCGAAGCAGGCTTAGGAGACCAACGGTGGTACGGTCGAGAAAGGAGGAGAGCCTGAAACTCATACGGCTGCCATCCCAAACATCATCACCGCCGAGCAGCAAATCACCAATAACAAGGCCTTTTCTTCGGCTAAAATGGCATCGCAATCATCACCAACAACGGCTGCCATTAGGAGCACAACGTCACCAATGCCGACACCTACTGATGTCGCAGCTTCGAAGGCCACAATGAGCTCGGTCGAAGTGGTCGTGTTACGCGCTGAGGAGTATGAATCAGATCTAAAATTGGAGAGAACCTCACAGTGAATTTCCGAGAGCCAGAAACTCCAATTCGAGGTTCGCGAATGAAGAGTTGCAGAGTCAACTGGAAGTTCAAGAAGAAGCGGCTGTTCGCTAGAGAGACAAAGGCAGTGGCGAAACTTGGCATCGGAATCAACCGCCGGCGTGAAGCCCAGACGGAGGTGGTAGCAGAGAGGGGTGAGCGATGGGTGGCGACTCTTGATGATAAGAGGGAGGCTTGTGCTAGCGCTAGTCGTTGATGCAAACGGAGTCGAAGTCAGCCATATCGAGATTACCATCTCGCCGCAGAGTGGACTTCTTGACGAGGCAAGCTTCACCGGCAAAGGAGGCGATCAAGAGCGGCCGGATTTGCACACCAACGTCGCGATCTATGCCAGTCACGGTGACAAGGGAGCGGGAACGAGCAACAATGGGAGTGGGCTGTCCTTTGCTTCGCCGGTTGAATTGTGCGCTGCTGGAGAAAGAGGTAATGGCTCACATGCCATCGAGGAAGGAGAAGAAGATTGGCGGCGGCCGGACCCTCTGCTCGTCGTCCGTCGGTGAGGAGAAGCCGAAGAAGAAGTCACCGGGGTGGACTTCGAGTGCCCTGGTGCACCGCTCGCCGGAGGACGAGAGGAAGAAGGAGAGAGCAGGTGGCGGTGAGCTTCCCTCGTCGTCAGAAATGGAGGCGTTACGGGAGGAGGAGAGGACGAGGGTCGAGGCGCCAGCAGGCCAGTTGCGTCGCCAAAGGTGGAGAAGCAGGAACTGTCGGCGATGGCGGACGGCGCGACAAGGAAGAAGAAGGCGGAGGAGGTGGTTGGCGGCTGGTTTCCTCCACTTGCAAGCCCTAAGTCGCCAAGGGTGGGCTGTGTGCGGCCGAATGTGATTAGTGGGCTCAAGTCAAGTCGAATGGAACAGCTGAGCGGGCCAAGTTGGAAGGTGTGTGTGGGCTGGGGAAGAGCAGGTCAGCTCACAAGGGAGGATTCGCTGGGCCTAACTTAAACCAGTCAAGGTGGGCCGAGCCAAAGCCATTGAATGGGTTGGAGCTTAAAGCAGAATGGACCGACCAAAATTGTGGTCTCGGTCACCAAATGGGCTGGCAGTTGAGGTTGTGTTTAAATGGGATGCATTTGCAGAAAAAGAGAAGTGGGTTGGTAGGAATAAAAGATGGGCTTTCAAGACAGCTAGGCCCAAAATTGATTGGAGAAACAACTTGTCAGAGTAATGAGCTAAATTAAGGGAAGATGTTCGCAGATCTTGATGAGTTGGTTCTTAAAGATAAGTTTTTGTGCCATAAAGCACATTCGGATTCCTTAAGCTACTGGATCGTGATACCAGCGAAAGAGGAGTTGTTGGGCAATGAGGTAAAGAGTGGATCCTTGAAGCCAATGTTCCTTGACCAGTTCGCAAGAATAATCACAAGATCGACGGTGTGAGTCCTCATACCAGATTGGAAGAAAAGGAAGCGCAAGACGCGGAGGAGACGACACCTGGCTGGAACGAGAAGAGTTGAGGAGCGAGACAAGTCCGTCAACCTTGAGGACAAAGTTGGTCTGAAGGGGGAGGGGATGATAGAAACCTACTTTCCACGGGTTTCTATTATAATTACCATATTCATATTATAGATAATTATTAGAATAAATCACTACTTGGAGGTTAAGTTTAGGATTATTGTTAGGGTTTCTATCTTTTCCTATATAAGTGTACTTGGGAGTTTCATTATAATCAATCAAGAAAGTTAATACGAAATTATCCCAACCATAGTCTATCTTTCTCTCTCAATCTTGTTTCTCTCTCTCTCCAAAGCTTCGGCTGTTCTTCCTCAATCCCTAAAATTCTACTCTTCTTCCCCAAATTCTCTTCTAAACCCCTAAATCTCAATCAATTCCCAAATTCCCAACCCAATCGATAGAGCCCTAGAAATAGGTTTCTATCAGAATGGTTGCAAATGTTGTTTTTAAACAAGTGTGGTAGCCTACCACTTAAGCTACTTGGAGTAATAGAATGGCATCGCTAGCACAATGGTATCATAGAATGTATGCTTATGATTGTGTGTGTGTATTTGGAGGCCTTGGTGGTCTTTATCTTTATGAATTTGTGGAGTTTAAATGCCGCCCACCAAGTGCTCGATGAAATGCCCAAACCACATAAAACTTGTTTGTCTTGATCCATTGCTTATCAATTGAACGTGTTTGATTAAGATAGACATGTAGGAGTCTGTTTATGACTTAGAATTGAGTCTTTGATGCATGTCCCTTGAGTTTGAAATTTTGTTTCACTTTGGATTTTGCGCTTCATTATGCTTTTATAGCCAAGAGCTTAAGTTTTGGTTGTTGTCTAATGAGTTGATTCTAGCCTTCGTTCGGGGTTAGAAACCTCTTGAAAGACATGGCACCCTTGTGTTCATGCATCTAGACCTCGACCCTGATCATTACAACATGCATTTCTACCTATGCACCTCTAGTTTCTACATTGTAACACTTAAGTGTGGGGGTGTATAGAGTGAACCTAAGGATAGATTTTGTTGTTTAATTGATCAAGTGAGTTGCCTAATGGTTTGTTTGAACATTTTTGTGATTTTTTATTCTAATGGCAATCCAACCGAGGGTGAGAGTGATAGTTCTCTTAGCTCTCAACAACGAAGGAACCAGAACAGACCATGATGAGAAGAACCACAATTTCAAAGAGAAGTACCATAACCTCAAATTGAGGAGCAAACACAACAAGCTTAATAAAGCAACCAGTGGGGGCGATTACGAGCTATGATGGACCATCTTCGCAAGAAAGAACCTCTGATTTGCAACTATATTATGCTCCAACTGTACATCAAAGACATCTTGGCATCTAGGGGCCAATTTCTATCTTTTTCTTTTTAAATACTTGGTATGTAAAATCTGTGTTTGTGGTAGAGTAATTTTATATTTTGTTTATGGATACTCATTCTTCCTCTCTTATGTGCGTTCTTAAATGTTAATTCTCTAGATCAACGAAGACCTACACTTGTGAACCCTACTTAACCCACAAACACCTATGGTAGGGCTTCTTGAACCTTACCTTTAGCTCCCACGTTGAGGACAATGTGTCTGTTAAATAAGGCGGAATGCATTGCATGCCTTAAAAGTTCATGATGAATATGCCATGAATTGTTAGTAGCCTCTCTTGATTATGAATGTAAGACGTTGATGATTTCCTATGGGAGTGAATGATACTGATTAAATTTGTTTTCTGTTATTGAGTGGCCAAATGATAGTGTTTTGGAACCTTGAATGCATTACCCAAAAATTTTCAAATTTGAGGGTTCCTGACTCGTTCTAACTACAACATCCCAATCACCGGCCAAGTATATTCGGCGACCGGGTGTAGTATAGGGCAAACAAGCAATAAGAATTTACGTACCACGCGGATCTAGGAGCACCCTACTTCAGGTTTAGGGTTCGTTATTTAGCCAACCTAGGATAGTGATTAATACAACTAAACTAAGTAACCTTGATAAGGACATCAATGGGCTTGTCACACGTGCTAAGGCAAGGACGTTGAAGGAGAAGCTTGCGACATATTTGGAGAGCTACTTTGGAGCCATGGACGTGGAGCTATTTCTAGGAAAGCCATATATGATGATTCGATGGAGGAAGAAGGAGGAAGTGCTGAAGAGAAGGAAGATTGCAAGAAGTAGGCTTAACGAGTTTGCTTAACGGGTCCAGCCTTAACGGGTTTACTTAACGATTTGGGCTTAACGGGTTTGCTAGGCTATTTCCGAGTTTCCATGTTTTAAAGTCGGTTTATGATTGTTTTTCCATGTTGGAGTCGGATTAGGGTTGTACTTTGCCTATTTAAAGGACTGAACACGTTGGTTTGCCCTTAGACGATTATTATTGAATTTCAGAGGCTACTGCCGAGTTCCCTACGCAGAATTTGCCCTAATTACTCTGTCGAGAATCTCAGAGTCCTAGAGCAACTCTTATCAGCTAGGTATTCACCCTAGTTGTGGTGAGCTACACATATCGATTGCCCTTTATTCCGAGTTGAATCTGTCCGATCGATTCATATATCAATTGCCCTTATTCACGGGTGAGTTCTGTCCGATCGATTTCCATCCTATCTGGTTCTGTTTGGTTCGAGAAGCTTGACCCTGCATCTACTTTGATTATATCAAGTGGTATCAGGCTTATCAGAGCCTGTTTCAAATCAGTGGCGTGTTCTTGAAGTTTTTTTTTTTGAAGATCTTGTGCGTTCTTGTTCGTGTTCTTGGTGATTTTGTGTGAGTTCTTGAAGGTCTTGCCGTGTGCTTGAGCCACAAGACAGGAGTTTGTTTGTTCTTGGGTGTTCTTGGTGTTTCCTGCGAGGCGAGAAGCAGGTTGTGCGAGTGCTTGTTAAGTTCTTGTGTTATGGAGTTTTCTTGCATTGCAAACATGGAAGCAGCACTCGAAGCGATAAGAAATCAATTGGAGAACATTGCTCCTGCTCAAGAAGAGCAAACATCAAGGCTTGCCGAGCAAGCCACGAGGATGGAGGTTGTCGAGACAATGCTCCAGCAGCCGGTTGTGGTCGATGCAAACCCTAACCCTAGACCTCGATAAGAAGAAAGGGGAAGGGAAAATCGAGCTCCTCCACCCTTGGTTCATGAAGTACAACGTCATATGAGCCAGCATAGATGCCTTGGAATGCTTCGAGCTGAAAGAAGAGGGCGGCAGCAGCATCATGAAGAGGAGTTTAATGACGAGGAAGAAGAGGGCTTTGATGAGGATGATGATTTGAAAAACCTCAAGGTCACGATTCCACCTTTTCGCGGTACTACGAACCCTGATGCTTATTTGGATTGGGAGCGAAAGATGGAACTTGTGTTGACTGTCATAACTACTCCGAGAAGAAGAAAGTGACATTGGCTTTCCTAGAGTTCTCGGATTATGCACTTGTTTGGTGGGATCAGTTGGGAACGAAACGAAGGAAAAACAGGCAGCGTCCTATTGAGACGTGGGATGAGATGAAAGGAATTATGAGGGATTAGTTTGTACCGAGTTCCCATTTGCGAGATATGTATCAAAAACTCCAGCTTCTACGATAAGGAACTAAAAGCGTTGAAGATTGTCACAAGGAGTTGGAAGTGTTGATGATACGTGCTGATGTGAGAGAGGACCACGAGGCTACCATAGCTTGTTTTCTGTATGGTCTCAATCGAAAGATCAAGAACGTGGTGGAGATACAACCGTTCCTTGAACTTGAAGATTTGGTGGATATGGCAAGTAAAGTGGAACGATGATAGACCGTTAATTACACAAGTTTTTACCCCTGTTCTTACATCGTTTGAGATGTGATTTCTCGTGTTTTAGGCCGATTTCACGCTAGGGTGTGCTTGTTTGTGATATTTCAGGTCCTAGTACGTGAATGGAGGCTTGGGAGCGAGTTTGGGGTCGATTGGACGAAGATCGGGCGCGAGGCAAGTCACAAAGGAGGCCACACGGGCACACCCACAAATCACACGGCCGTGCAACTCATATTTCTGGCCGTGTGAGATTGTGCGAGAGCAAACACGGCCTGCCTTGACAACACACACGGCCGTGTGAAGGAGTGGCTTGGCCGTGCGAGTTTTGCCGAGAGCAAACACGGGCAGATGGAAGTCACACACGGCCGTGCCACTCTGGCCGTGTGAGAAGCCTGAAGATCGAACTAATTGGAACGCAGCGTTTTGACTCACATGGGCAACTGGGCATGCCACACGGCCGTGTGGCCCTGCCCGTGTGAGTCGGGATTTCCTGGTTTTAACCCAATTTCGGGCTGCAAGAGAGAGAATCAGACTTTTTGAGCAAAAACAGAGCCCTAGGGAGAGAAAGGACGAAGAACACATCCTAGAAGCTATCTTGGAGCTGGGTTTCATCGAATCGAGCTTGGAGATCGTCCTAGGAGTGGAAATCATCATCCCGGAGCAGATTTTCCTCATCTTTATGAGTATGACTACTCCGATTACTGTTTTCCTCTCTCTCTCTATGGAGTAGAACCCCTCTCTCACTTGGGGATGAAGAACCCTAGTTCTATGTGTTAGGGATTGATTGTAATGACTTGGAGTGATATTACTGTTTGATTTTAATCGAATGATGTATGTTTATTGAGTCAATTGAAGTCTGATCAACTTTTCCTGATTCCTGCTGCAATCTGAGATAGATAGAATCTGATTAGGTTGCTAGAGTCTCATCATTCGGTAGTAGGAGATTGGCTATACGAGAGTTAGCCAGTTTACTGCTTTGTACTGGAATCCAATTCCAGTAGTGGAGTTCTGTTCTTACTGCTTCAGCTTTCTATCCCGGTGAAGACTAGTAGTCTGCCGGGTAGATAGACTGAGAGGGCTTGGTCAGCTTAAGAGATTCCAAGCTACTGTCGGATCTTCCGCAGTCTAATCAACAGTAAATCAACCCAGGGAAATACAATTGAAACCTAACTAAGGAGCTAGGGGGACTCATTCCCGAGTGACTCTTACCTGCTTGAGAAAACCGAATAATTTCCTGCTTTCTTTCTGCTTTTGCTTTTAAACAACAATCACTTACTTTAGTTGGCTAGATAATAGATAATCACTGAGTAAGCAGTAGATCTAGACCCCGGGTTGATAATATAACTTGCCTGTTACTGCATTCCCGGTCTGCGATTACACTTGGTCGCAGATTGGT